CATCATCCATCCATCCATTCTTCCATCCATCCATCCATCATCCATCCATCATCCATCCATCCATTCTTCCATCCATCCATCCATCATCCATCCATTCATCCATCTATGCATCAATCTATCCATAAATCCATCCATCATCCATCATCAATCCATCATCCATGCTTGCATCCATCCATCATCTTTCCATCATCCATTCACCCATCCATCCATCATCCATCTATTCATCTGTCATCCATCCATCCATCATCCAAAAGTGCAGTTATCTGCAGGGAATGACATTAAGAGTTTTGCTGGAGGTTTTCACTCCCTATTTGAGATGCTTCTGTCATATTGTTTGGATTTTTTACAAGGAACATATTTCAATAATCACAATATTTTTATTTTTTTTAATGGCAGCATGTTCCACGGTCAACTAAAACACAACGTTTTTTTTTTTCCATGCACCTGAGCCCTCTTATGTGCCTTAGAACTCAGCTTCCAAGTCACCTTTGCCCTCCTAAAGGGTTCTCCTGTGAGTTGTGACCCTATTTGAGTCTCCCTGCTCCCCTCTGGCAGACAAAACAGGCTGGTCTGCAGGGTGGATCAGCAAGGAAGGGTATCAGGAGCCACCCAAAATCTGAAGTTCCTTTTTTTTCTTTCATTTCTGGCATCTTTATAAGATATCAGTCCCATAAGGGCAGAAATCTTGTCCCTTTTTTCTCTGCTGTGTCCCCAGTGCTGGGCATGTGATAGGTCCTCAATTAATGCTTGTGGGATGAAGGAGAGAGGGATGAGCCTGCATCACTTTTTTCCCAGATTAACTGTCATTGCTCTGATGTGCTGCACACTGGCCAGGCAGCCCTGATGTCCCTCTCCCACAAGCCACAGAGGACAGTGATCATAGTTCTTACTCTCTTCTGGGAGAGAGAAGCCGATTGGCCCAGCTCAAGGCAGAGGTGATCCTGTCCTCATCCTTTGCAGCTTGGGATAGAGGCTGTGGGGGGCAGGCGGCCAGACACCCCACCTGTGCCCCTCACACCTGTGCATTTCCACTGCCAGGGGCGTGGGGGGAACTGCATAGAGTGTGCTGGGCCGAGCGATGGAGCCTGCACACTGACCACTTAGGATAGAGAGGCCAGCATGCCGGGCGGCAATGGGCTATGGAGCCACGGATGACAGCGTTAGAAGCAGTTTGTTCTCCTGCAGGTGACATTGATCAGACCTCAGTGGTTCATTCATCACAGCTGCTCACCAGTAAATTAGCAAGATTTGCCCTGCAGCCACAGGAGTGGCCTCCCTGGACCCGGAGCCCTGAGCACCACTGTGGGCTGGGCTGGACGCTCATCAAGGCAGCCAGGCCGCCCCTTAGGCTGCAGCTCCAATTAGGAGCCCAATTCACTGTGCCTCCCTCCAGCCCGAGCAGGCACAGCCCGGCCTGCAAAGCCAGGGAGGGCGGCAGCCCTCACCTCCCAGGGAGTGATCTGCAGGGCCCCCAGCTCGATGGGCCCCACCTGCGGCCCACATGGTCCCTGCGTCTGGGATGGCACCGGGAGGGACTCACTATATTTCACGACCTCCCAGGAGGCACTACATTTATTCTTATTTACAAATCCCCAGAGAGGTGAGTGACTTCCCAAGGCCACAGAGCAGCACACAGGGCTGGGCTGCAGGGTGCCATGCCCAGCTCTTGGCAGGGACACCACCTTCCTCGGCATGCTGCATCCAGCAGCTCAGCACAGTGGGCACTGCTGAGCCGGGTGGCAGGGAAGGGCAAGGCAAATGGCGGAGTGGGCAACCCAGAGGCCAGGCAGCCAGGAGAGCTAAGGTGGGGAAAGTGACCCTAGGCAGGCCAGTGCTGGCCGCTTCCCTCCTTGCTACCTCCCACAATTCAAAGGGGCAGCTGTGCACCTGCAGAACAGTCTGTCACAGACCCTCCTGGGATGCATGGAGGGTAGGAGAACTGGGGCCTAGGCAGGGAGGCCCCAGTGGAGTTTCAGGTGTCAGAGCCGGGCAGGGAGGTGCGGCATGGCTTAGGCTGGCCACAGAAAGCAGGACCTTCCAAGAGAGGGCCCAGCCCCATGAGGCCTGGCTCAACCAGAGGCACGGCTCAGCACAGCAGCTGAGCAGGGGCTGTGCTGGAGGAGCTGTGCACTAGCCCAGGCCAGGAAGGGCTCTGGCCATTGGGCCCACAGCCCTGGACTTCCCAGAGCCCCAGGGCTAGAGCACCTTCCAGCCTTGATCAAGTGACCTTAGCAGGTCATCTACACTCTGCGTCCATGGGACAAGCACCTACCTAAAGAGACCATTGTGGTGTGCAGGAGAAACATGGCAGGGCTTGGAAGGGCTGGTCACCCCATCAGCCTAAGGCATTGCTGTCCCCCACATCCCTCCTGGCCCTGCAGAGGGACTCACTTTCTCCCACCCAGAGGGATCTGCAGGAGGCAGTCTGGAGACCAGCTGTCTGTCCAGCCCTGTGCTGCCCCGGATGGCAGCCACTAGCCCCTGAGGGTACTTAAACCATGGAGGTTAAACAACATGGCCCCAGCCGCATTTTAGGTGCCCCACAGTGCCCTGTGGCTAGAGGCTGCTGGACTGGACAGGGCGGGGTGAGGGAGCATAGCAGTCACCCCCAGAGTCCCACTTCCCAGGCTGCTTGGTGGGTGCCAGACACCTGCTAGGAGCTGTGCGTCACTGCACTGGGTCCCCAGGGGACACATGGTGTGCGGGGACACTCCCAAGGCCTGGCCCAGGGCTCCCTGCTTTGTGTTCCCAGACTCCCAACAAGGCCACCTTCAGCCACTGTCCCCCCAGGACACACGTCTGTCACCAGCAATCTTTATTGGCTTGGTGGGGTTTTCCAGGAGCGGGCGGGGTCCACTGGGCCTGCTCCTTGCTCTGAGCCCATCAGAGCCCTTTCTTGGGCAGGGGATTGATGATCCCGCTCTCGATGTACTCAAAGACGGTGTAGGGATCCTGGTCCCCGTTGATGGTGGTGGCCCACCTGTAGAAGTGCCCCAGCTCGGCGGAGTTCCTGTAGTACAGATCCACCTTGAACTTGACCCGCTCCTCAGAATCCTTTGGGTGCTGCAAGAGACGAGCCTGGATCTCCATGGTGGGGGGCGGCTTGTACATGAGGTGGTACCTACGAAAGAGAAGGGAACAGGTGACCACAGGCTGGCTGTCCTATGCGGGCCAGGTTGCTGGGCACTGTCGGCCATCACCACCAGCCCAGCAACCTGGGCACAAGCTGCATGTACACTCCTGATTGCCTTGAGCTGCTGAGTGACCCAAGATTGGTGCCCGCTGGGGTTGGAGCAGAGACATCAGCGTAGGAGGTGGCTGCGAGGGACCACCCCCAGCCCTCCCCTCCCCCACTCTCTTCTTGGCTTTTTCCTCCCAGCAATCTTTGATCTTCCTTAAGCCTCTACCTTAGGCCTGCATCACACCCGCTGCTGGGCACCAACTGTGACCCTGTGTTCATGGGACTCAAGGAGGGGCGTGGCAGGAAGCGCCAGACGGCCCCTGCCCTTCAGATGGGTCACTGAGGACTGTCCCCGGAGCCAGGAGGACAGACCAGATCCATATTCAGAAAAACCCTCTCTGGCACCTCCTTCTCTCCATCCCCACTCCTGTCCCTACCTGAAACATGCCCTGGTTCCCAGGGAAGAGGAGAGCTGGGGCACCTTTGGACCGTGGGGACTTTCAGGTGCATTTCTGCTGCACTGTGGCAGGGGAGGGTCTCAGAAAGCTTCGGTCTGGGCAGGTAGAACTTGCCCGGAGGCCACAGTGCAGGGACCGTGCTTGGTCAGACTGCAGAATGAATGCAGAATCCACTCCCAGCCCTCGGGAGGACTCAGGGATGAGCCGGTTCCCACGGGAATGCATCTGTATAGCTGCCAGCTCTGGGAGCCTCCTGGCCAAGGCCACTGGTGTGTGACAGGGGACACCTACCCACCCATTTGCAGCCGGTGCAGCCATTTCACATGCTGGGCACAGCTGCTGACCCAGGACAGAGTGCCAGTGTCCTAGAGCTCTGGACAGTCCTCTCCTGGTTACAAAGAGGGCCACCAGGCATGCTCAGAAGAGCTAGTGGGGACCCCATTTCTAGCCCCCTCAATCATCCCCAGGTGGGCCTGGCTGCTAGCAGCCCTGAGTGGCCAGCTACCAGGAACAGGCACAAACCTTTCTCCTGTGACTGGATCCACTCTTCTCAGGGTCAGCCGCTCCATGATAGAATCCAACGGCACGTTCAGGAAAAACACCCTACGGGCACAGTGCACACCTGTCACGACCTGTACTCACGGTGCTGTGACAACCCAGGCCTGGGCCTCCTGAGCCAGCCCCACAGAGAGCAGAGAGCTGCCTCAGAGCGTCTCAGGTACACTCCCACCGCTGCCAGCCTACGTCCCCTGCCGGCATCACCCCAGGGCCAGGGGCCAGGCAGCCAGAGCCACCAGAATTGTTCCACTGCCCAGGCTGAAGCTTTCTGTGACCCTCCCCTGCCTTGCCCAGTCCTTGCCCAGAGCCACAGGGCAGGCTCTGGGCCCTGCTCTCCCCACGCTGCCCCCACCAGCCCAGGCTTCCCGCAAGGCGCAGGGTGGCGTGGCGTGCCCTCCTCTGGAGCTGCGAGGAGAAGCAGCAACGTGGATGGCACCTGAGGTCATCATGCTAAGTGAGGTAAGCCAGACAGGGGACAAGGACACACGGTCTCACTCGTGAATCTCACAGAAGAACAGAGTGGACGGTGCTCACGGGGCTGGAAGGGCAGGTGGAGGGCGGGTGACGAGAAGCTCCCGCACACCAGACGTGGGCGGGGCACGACTGCCCTGCTCCAGCCCAGCAGTCACCACCCGCTAAAACCAGCCAATTCTCAAAATGCCCAGAAGAGTGTGACATTCCCCACACATAAAAGCCATCTGCGTCCCAAGAGAGGGGAAGGCTGGCCACCCTGATGTGAGTGTCCCGCACCCTACACATGCTGACCACCACGGTGTCCCCACAGAGAGGGCTCAGGGAAGCTGCTCCCCAGGCAGCAGCTGCTGGGACGTCCCGTGCTCCCTGCCCTTCGCCTTCAGCCAGTGTGGAGAGCCCAGGGCCAGCTCCCAGCAGGACAGGCCGTCACCGTCGGTGCCTGGGTCTATGTCTGAGATGCACACTTCCCACTGGGGACAGTGTCAGTGACGACCAACACGCTCACACACCCACGGCCTTGAATCCATTCCACTTTCACACAAGCAGGCTCCGCCAGAGGCCGCCCGGGCAGGGACCTCACCTCCACTCTGGGACACTCCGCCCCTCACCAACACCCCCAGAGACCTCCAGACCTGTCAGGTGGCCAGGCTTTGGGCCCAGACGCCTCTTAGTAAGGCCAGAGCAGTAATGGGCCCCCAGCAGGTGCCCAGGAACACTGCAGGGGACGAAGTCACAGGGGACGAGCGCGCACACTCCCCGAGGCCTGCGCCCCGCCTCCTCGTGGTGATTTCCCACCTGGCCACAATCCTGGTGGCTCCGGAGCACAGGGCTGGAGGGGCCCTGGACAGGAGATTCCCAGGGGGCTCACAGACTCTCCAGGGCAGCGGCTGGCAGAGGACGCGGGCGCACCTTGCCTGGCTCAGGAGGGTGGGAGGCAGCCCGCGTGCCTGGCGGTGGGATGGCTGCCTCTGGTGGGGTGCTGCGACCCCCTGGGAATTAGTTAGAGCCGTCAACCACATGGGGACTCTCCAAGGGAGACAGGGCTCAGAGAGGCTACTCGTAGCTGTTCTCAGCCGGAACCTCCTGCCTTAGGGAGGCCTGCAGGAGAGGCCAAGCCGGACTGCTGCTGGGCCTGCACGTGGACCATTTCCCCCAGCTGTGGACACACTTTTCCCAGTTTCCTCTGGGGGGACACACTGCCCCTCTCATCTCAAGGCCTCATGGAACTAACTTGCCCAGGGCTGCAGGACTGGATATGAGGGAGGCCTAGAGGTGGCCAGTCCGAGCGCCGGCTCCTCCTGGCCACAGGAATTGGCTCAGGATGCAGGCTGATCCGCGGAGGGCTGCCCCAGTGCATGCTGGAGGGAAGGGAGCCTCATTTCTGCTGAGGCTGCAAAGCGAATGGCTTGCAAGTCCAGGTTACCCAGAGAGAGCCCTGCTGAGAGAGCAGAGATGGGGAGAGACAGTGTGGGGCCCTGGATCAGGACGTGCCTGAAGCCAGCACACCCTCAGCATTTCTCTGACATGAACACGTAAACCTCTTTTCTCAGTTTCAGTTGGTCTGGACTGCGTTTCCTGCAATATGACACCTAACACCTCTCCAAGGCCACTTGCTTTCTGAAAAATATGTGAACTTAAAAAAATATAGACAGGGCGGGGGTTAGGGCTCAGCAGTCGAGCACTCGCCTAGCACGTGTGAGCCCTGGATTCAAGCCTCAGCACCACAAATAATAAAAACGCGTATAGACAGAGTCCCAGAGTCAGACGTCCCTCCTCCCTCCAGGCCTTCTTGCCCTTGCTCATTTGCCCCGGAGGCTCTCTGAGGGTCACTGTGCCGTGGCCAGGAAGCCCTCGGGGCGGTGGTGAAGCAGCAGCGCGGCCACTCCTGCAGTGAGCACAGCTTGGCCACCGCAGCCAGGCAGGGCCCTGACCAAGAAAGCCCCCTTCTTCTCTGCACCAGTCCTGGAACCACCTCCATCCACAAGGTGCCACAGAATAACAGCCACCAAGCACCACGTGGAGCCAGGGCAGCGTGCGAACACGGAGCACAGGTGTCTCAACTGCTGCCACCCTCCCGCTGGCCCCTCGTGCCCCAGGACCCAGGGGCCCCAGCAACCCCGAGTCTCAGCTGTCCCTGGGGCTGGCAGTGGGTGGTGCCACTCTAAATGCTGCCATCTGCAGAGAGGACGCCAGTGTGGAGGTCCCTGTCAGTAAAGGCTCTTCACCATCAGACGCGGCTGAAAGCTGTTGGCCTGGCACATCAAGATGGCCTGCCAGGCACGGGGAGGGCCTGCGACCCACGGCCAGAGCAGCAGGACCTGCGGCGGGACTGGCACGCGCCTCTGGAAAAGCCCCCTGAGAGGCTGCCCTCCGCGTGCCAGCACCTGATCGTCCAGGCTGCGGCCCCAGTGGGCACCCAGGGGGCAGGGCGCAGGCCAGGATGCTCTGCCGACGTCTGCCCCGAGCACGGCCCTGCCCTGTGCCACGCTGTGTTTCCTGAGATGCTTTTTCAGTAACACGCCAGAAAGGGGAATGGCGAAAGCAGACTGTCAGAGGGCACGGGGCAGACCGCATGCCTGCCTTCCAGCTGGGGCAGCCTGGGCGCAGGGGCAGGGGGCAGTGGAAGGGCCTTGGAGGTCCCTGGTCGCACTAAGCCTGAACGGCCTGGGCCTGGGGCTACTGGTCTGCAGACCTCAAGCCCCAGCGCCCACCCCTGAACCAGATGATCCCTAGCACATGAAGGTAGGAGAATGGCCACTGGGATCCTGCTCCCCAGCTCTGTCTGATGGTGAGCACATCTAGATGGCTTGTCTAAAATGCAGATCTGGGCACCCCCTGTCCCCTGAGCTATTGAGCCAAAACCTCCAGGGAGGGACGGATTACCCTGAATTATAAATATTTATGATTTATAATATTTATTATAAATATGAAGTATTTATAAATCAACAGCTCAAGTGAGTCTCACAGCCAGGCAGCTCTGGGGGCCATGGCTCTAACCCAGGGTCTCATCCCTGGCCACACAGGCCGCCATTAGGAAGCTTTGAGAATACCAAGCCTGGACCCCAGCCCGTGATTAGTGATTAGTCCAAGGCTGAGTTCTGCAAATGGGATTGTTTGCAGGGAGGGGGTACTACAGATTGAACCCATGGGTGCTTTACCACTAAGCCACATCCCTAGTCTTTTTTGAGACAGGGTCTCACTAAGTTGCTTAGGGTCTCACTAAGTTGCTGAGGTTGGCCTTGAATTTGTGGTCCTCCTGCCTCAGCCTCCTGGGTCACTGGGATCACAGGTGTGGCCCCACAACTAACTGTAAATGAGGATTTTGAGAGCTATTCAAGTGATTGTGGTATGTAGCTAGGGCTGGAAACCACCACTCTGATCCAATCTACTGTGTCAAGATGGGGAAACTGAGTCACGGAGAGGAAAAGAGCTCACACGCTATCTTCCTGGCACTGTGTCAGACATCAACGACAGGCCCTTGTGACGCCTCCTCCAGCCACTACCTCAGGCTCAGTGTGGGGAGCAAAGGAAGTTCCCTTAAAAGGCCCTGAAACTCCCCCTGCTCCAGAGCCAGTCACTGGAGACCGAGGAGGGGATTGGCTGTGCCCCCAGGAGGCTTGGTAAGTCGAGTCACGATACGCAACGCCTGGCTCTAAGTCTCATGTCCAGTCCTGCCCAGAGGCAGGGGCCTGCCTGTTGGCACTGGATCTCAACAGGTGGACCTCCGTGGTTGCAGAAACTTTTGCAAAGCACTATGGTGCAAACGTGGTGAGAGAGGACGTCACGTCCACAAGGGGGACAAGGTAGGAAGGCAGGCAGGGAGGGAGGGGGAGGGAGGGGGAGGGACACGTATGGCCAGGGTGGGGAGACTAGAGCTCTCTGGCCCTGGGACAGGAAGGTCCACAGTGCAGCCACCTGGAAAATTACATGGTGGCTTCTCAGAAAAAGAAACACAGAATGACCATCAGATCCAGCCCCCCGCCCCCCAGGATACAGACCCAAATCCCTGGGAGCAGGACATGCTCAGGAGGCGCACACCCCTGCTCACCGCAGCGTGGTCCACACAGGCAAAGCGGGAACACTGCCGTCACGGAGGGGTGAGTGGACAGACCAGGCGGGCTTCGCACACGGCCAGCCTTACAAGGCAGGAGCTCTGACGTGGGTCCGTGGAACCCACTGGGCACTGCGAGCCTGCAGGACCTCGAGCTGGACGGAGTCAGCCCGACTCAGGACAGGTGCTGCGTGTGCTGCTTCTGTGAGGTTCAGAACAGTCCAAGTCACAGGGACGGCAAGCAGCCTGGGGGTTCTCGGGGGCCGTGGCGGCCGGGAGGTTAGCCCCGGTGGAGGGCGAGGCAAGGGTTCAGGAGATGGTGTGATCCTGGCTGCACAAGAGTGTGACTGTGTTAGTGCTGCTGAGCCACCTGTGAGAGGTGGCTGTGCGCCTTCTGTTGCTTCATCACACACACAAGCAGAAGGCCGGGTTGGGGAGGGGGTTCCTCTGATCATGAATGAACTCACAGGTTGGCAGGTTCCGAATACAGACGTGTACAAGTGAATGAGCGAACCAAAAA